TTTTAAAGACGGGGTTTCACCATGTTGGTCAGGCTGGTCTTGAACTCCTGACCTCAGGTGATCCGCCCACCTTGGCCTCCAAAGTGCTTGGATTACAGGCGTGAGCCACCACGCCTGGCCTTTCATTTCTTTTTTTGAAACAGAGTCTCTGTCTCTGTCACCCAGCCTGGAGTGCAGTGGTGCAATCTTGGCTCACTGCAGCCTCTGCCTCCCGGGTTCAAGCAGTTCTGCCTCAGCCTCTCAAGTAGCTGGGATTAAGGTGCACGCCAGCATGCCTGGGTAATATTTTTGTATTTTTAGTAGAGACAGGGTTTCACCACGTTGGCCAGGCTGTTCTTAAACTCCTGACCTCAGGTGAGCCACCGTGCCCAGCCCTTCATTCCTTTTTATTGGGCTGCATAATATTCCCTTGTGTGGATAGACCACATTTTGTTTATTTATCTGTTGTTGGACATTTGGGTTGTTTCTACTTTTTGGCTTGCAAATAAGCCGTTACATTTCTGCATAGATTTTTGTGGGGACATATGTTTTTAATTTTCTGGAATAGATGCCTAGGAGTGAAATTGCTGGGTCATATGGTAACTCTATGTTTAACTTTTTGGGAAAATGCCAAACTTTTTCTAAAGTTCCTGCACCATTTTACATCTGTGAGCAGTGTACTGTTTACTTAGTTTTTTAAAAAAGCAAATCATTTGTTATAAGGCAAGCAGTTTTCTAACACTGGCATTCCATGAGTGTTTTAAGTGACGGATCATTTACAGTATGCCTCCCAACACACAGGCCAGTCTGCTGGGGTACCATGCTGAGAACTGCTGTGCATGTGGGGCTTTAACCCACTAGAAGGGGACCTTCTTTTTCTTGAGAGTCTGAAATGAAGGGTGCCAGGCAGCTCTTGGGAAGAGTTTCTGCTTTGTCACCTTACTCCTGTCCCCTAATGCTATCCCAGTCTTTAGGAATGGCGCTTTTGGTCTGAGTCTGCAGCCTGATTCCTGAAAGCTATTGATCGAGCGCCCTTGCCAGCGTCTCTGTCTTTGGTGCTTCTGCCTCACAGGCTATCTGCAACGTCAAGACGCAGAAGCCTAAAACCTCTGCCCAGTGTCTTGGTTGAAAAATTGAGCTAGAGCTAGGCACTCTTCGTGTCATATCCGATAACGGACACGGGGCTTAAGAGGCTTAGGGTGCTCGTGCCTGACACACCCAGGATCCTCTCTTCTCAAAGCCTGTCTTAGAATGCAGCTGATGGTCTAGAAATGGAGAGACAGGGTACAGAATAAACCCCTGTCTTTCCCTTGCCTCCACCTGCAGAGAAAAGAAATGCTGGGAACGCAGTACGGAGCGCCATGAAGTCCGAGGAACAGAAGATCAAAGATGCCAGGAGAGGTCCCCTGGCACCTTTTCCAAACCAAAAATCTGAAGCAGCAGAACCTCCAAAAACTCCACCCTCGTCTTGTGATTCCGCCAATGCAGCTGTCGCCAAGCAAGCCCTGAAAAAGCCCATTAAGGGCAAACAGGCCCCCCGAAAAAAGTAAGTGCCCCCTTCAGTCCTCCTCCTGATGTAGAGCGGTTTGGTTCTTCTGACCCCAGGGAAGTCTGCTCAGGTGCCTGCGGGGGTTCAGGGGCCACCTCTCAGCCTCTCTCACCTCAAAGACTCAGATGCCCCGAGTCATCAGCAGGGATGCCACTATTTGTCAGTTTTTGGATCTGGCATGGGTCAGAGTTCAAGAGCTTCTCCTTCCTCCTCTCCTTTCCCACCCCAGCATAAGCAGCCCTCGTTTGTTTGTTTTTTTTGTTGTTTTTTTTTTTTTTTTGGGACGGAGTTTCGCTCTTGTTACTCATGCTGGAGTGCAATGGGGCGATCTCGGCTCACCGCACCCTTCGCCTCCTGGGTTCAGGCAATTCTCCTGCCTCAGCCTCCTGAGTAGCTGGGATTACAGGCACGCGCCACCATGCCCAGCTAATGTTTTTTGTATTTTTAGTAGAGACGAGGTTTCACCATGTTGACCAGGATGGTCTCGATCTCTTGAC